GGGGGGAGAGGTGAGCGGGGGAGCCGAACGAGGGTGAAACCGGCTCCCAGAGGTACCAGGTGGGCTTGTACCGAGAGATACAAAGACCCAGAGGGTTAGGGACAGAGGGACACATTGAGAAGCAGCCAGACACAGATATTGGGGAGAGAGAGAAGAGAGAAAGAGACAGGAGATATAGAGATAGAGAAGGAAAGAGAGAGAGAATAGAGAGAGAGAAGCGAGGGGAGAACGGAGAGAGAAGGTAGAAGTGAGAAAGAGGAGATAAAGCGATACAGAGATAAGAAGAGAGAAAGAGAGAGACCATTCATACACGGGGAGAGAGGAGATGCAGAGACAGTGTGAGACACAGCCGCAGATGTGAAGAGACAGAGAGCGGCAGAGAGTCTCATCAAGGGAAAGATGGGAGGGAGAGAGACAAACGGTCACAGAGACAAAGACAGAGAGAGATCCAGAGCTGACAGACATGCTGCGAAAGAACAGAGAAGCAGAGAGAGAGATGGAGACAGAGAGACGGGGAGAGAAGGAAGGAAAAAGGGATTGAAAGGCCCAATTGGAGGCAGAGAGGTGGAGGCGGGGGTGGGAGGCAAGGGCGTTTTCCCTCACATGGGGTGACTGAGGAATCAGGGTTAAGAATCAAGGAGTTAACCTCTGAACAAACAGGGGCCATGGGGAGACTATAAGTGAGAAATTTGCATTTTCCAGGCTCTGAGTTAGGGGCAGTTTAAGGGAGGAAGGGCAGTGCTCATTGGGCTGTGGATTTTTCTAGAATCGAATCCCCTCTTGAGACCCAAAGTTACCCCTTTATGCCATTAAGACAACAGACAAAACAAAGTGACCCACATCCCCAGGTAAGCTCATGAAAAGGCCTGATAAAGTTTGGCCAGCAAGCCAGCGGCTGGGTTTCAGAAGGCGGCTTTGATGTGGGGGACCACAGTCAGCACAATCCTGGTTTGTTTCTTTGCGCTTTTTAGGGTTTGGTGTGTGTGTATAGGGTTGCTCTTTCTTGAGGGATAAAATGAAGCAGGTGCTATCCATTTTACTTCTCTGAAAACTTTGGAGCTTTCAAAAGGCCCTTGGAAGGTTTGTTAGTGCACGGAGTGCCGGTGGGAACAGGAAGCCGTCCCTGGTGAATACACATCAAGGGACGGGATTTCACTTGGCAGGACAGGTTCTGATAATGATGGAAGAATCGATACCGGGGCTGTAATGAGCTGCCGAGGAGACCCTTTGCACAGGCCCTCTTCTTCCTGGGACCCATGCTGAGAAGTTGTGAAAGACACTCATTAGTTACCTATCTGCAGGTGGAGCATCATGCCAGCCTGCCCAAAGCTGGAGGCCTTCCACCCTCGGGACGAATGGAGGCCTGTGGTCCCTGGTGGTGGCGTGATGGTGGTAGAGGCCTGGACACAGGGGCCTGCACGAGGTCCGGCTGCCCTTCCTGGTGGAGACCAGGCTGTGGTTTGGCGGGGATGATGGCTGTAGTCCTTAATGCTAACGATAACCCGGTTCCTTGGTTCTTACATTCTGTTCGTTTTCCCGAGATGTGAAGTCTACTTACTGGGGCAAGGAAGGGGGTGCTCCATTCTCAGGGCAGACTAAGCTCCCAGACCCCCAGCAGCTCCGCTCACCCACCCTGGATTCCCAAGTCTTCCCATGGGCTATGGGATGCGGCCATAGCTTAGGGCCAGGACCTTTCTCCAGCATCCCTGGAGATGGCCTTGAGCTCCACCAGGACTTCCTGAGCGCCTGGGTGAGCACCTGGGGTCTGAGGTTGGGCAGGTCTCTCTGTTAGCACAGGTCACTCCCAATCTCCCAGCTGGCTCCGCCACGAGGAGGAACAGTGGACTTAGGCTCCCCCCCACCTGCCACTGTAGTACACCCCTCTGAACATCAGCTCCTCCATGCAGTGCTCTCCTTGGATAAGAACCGGATGGGTCTACTGGATGGGAATCCTCCACCACAGACCTGGTACCAAGGGTGCCACTGTGAACCTGCTCTGTGCACCGCACTACCGTCTTCTTAAAATGCTGTCTTGACCCAGTTTTGAGGCCCTGGCCTGAGGCCAGTCTGGTCTCCTTCCTGAGCAGCTAATTCAGCCCACTCTCCAGTTCTCACACTCCAGGCCTCTATGCACCCACCTAATCACCATAGGCCGGATACCCAACAACCAGGGACAGTCCCTATGCCCTGGAGCCTGCACAATTATTCAAAATGCCCAACCTCCCCCTCGCGGAGCCTGAGAAACCTAGCTAACGCCACCCTGCTTGCCCTACATAAGCGTCCCCTACAATCCCAGCATGCAGTTACCCTGCCCCGGGTGCACCCCTCTGTGCCCTGCGTCACAGCGGATTTTTACTTTCTGTAACCTCCCCGACTCCCCGTCTCCTTCCTGAGTCGTACCTGACTTCCTGCCCCACAAACTTGTTAGCGCAAGTTCTGTGTGTTGGGAGCACCATCCTCGCTCTGCACCTTTCAGGGGGAGGTGGAATTGGCAGCCAGGAAATCGTCATACAAATAAGGGCAGAGTGATAGAGGCACTGTTCTATCACCAAAATCAAACCCGCTGGCATGCAGTCAATTCTGACTCATGGCAACCCCACGGGTTACAGAGTAGAACTGCTCCATAGAGTTTTCTTGGCTGTATTCGTTACGGCACAGTGGTTAAGTGTTCGGCTGCTAACCAAACGGCAGTTCGAATCCACCAGCTGCTCCTTGGAAACCATGGGGCAGTTCTACTCTGTCCTATAGGGTTGCTATGAGTCAGTGGGTTTGTGTTTTTTGGTTAATCTTTATGGAAGCGTATCACCAGGCCTTTCTTTCGACTCACCAACCTTTGGGTCAGTTGTTGTTAATGTGTGCTGTCGAGTCGATTCTGACTCACAGCGATGCTGTAGGACACCGGAGAGCAGCCCCACAGGGTTTCCAAGGCTGTAATCTGTACCGAAGCACACTGCACATCTTTCTCCCTCAGAGCAGTTGGTGGGTTCCAACTGCCGACCTTTTCGTTAGCAGCCGAGCGCTTAACCACCATGCCACCAGGCTCCTTAGGTTAGTAGTCTAGCGCGAATGCCACCAATGACCTCTTGTCTCATAACCCGTAAACCCACTGCTGTTGAGTCGCTTCCGACTCATAGCGACCCGATAGGACAGAGTAGAACTGCCCATGGTGTTTTCTTGGTTGTGATCTTTACTGAAGCAGATCACCAGGTCTTTCTCCTGTGGAGCCACTGGGTGGGTTTGAACTGCCAACCTTTTGGTTAGTAGCTGTCATGCCTCCAGGGCTCCTTAATGATAGTAATCAAAAAAACAAACAAACAAAAAAAAGCAAACCCGTTGCCGTCAAGTTGATCTCGACTCAGAGCGACGCTATAGGACAGAGTAGAACTGCCCCACAGGGTTTCCAAGGCTGTGATCTTAACAAAAGCAGACTGCCACATCTTTCTCCTACGGAGCAGCTGGTGGGTTTGCGCTTAACCACGGCGCCACCAGGGCTCCTTGTTTTATAATAAGGTTTGCTAATTTCTGTTCTGACTCTGCTGCAGGGGAAGTCAGGTGGTGGAGGGAAAGAAGCACTGGGCCCAGGCAGCCCCCAGCACCAGCCTCCCCTCTCGCCCCAGCCTGCACCGAGCTCTGGAAGCACTGAAGCCCCGGCCGCAGCGTCCTCACTCAGGAACAGGAAGGTCACTTCATTCTGAACATTCGCTAACTCTCCTTCGCAAAACCGCAGAAGTGAGGGGCGGACCGATTCGGGCAGAAGAGAAGAACCAGGCTGTGGGCTCAGACAACGTGTAAGAGGTGGGCTAACGGAGTATCGGTTTGAAATTGTGACATTTGTGTGTCCAGGGCTGGGAAGTACGTGATTTTAAAAAATAATTATTAATTGAGCATTCAGGCCGAAGGAGTCCCTGGTAGCACAAACAGTTAAGCGCTGGACTACTAGCTGAAAGGCTGGTGGTTCGAACCCCCCCAGTGGTGCCTTGGGAGACAGGCCTGGCGATCTGCTTCTGAAAGGTTCCGGCCTTGGAAACCTTCTGGAGCAGTTCTGCTCTGCACACACGGGGGCGCTGTGAGTTGGGATCAACTTCATGGCAACTAACAGCAGCAGCAGCAAAGCCGCTGGCCTTGTTGGTTGAGTTGCCACTGCGGCCCTTCGGAGGAGACGCCTGCACCCCGTTTGGGACAGGTAGAGAGAGGAGGCTCAGCAGGCTCCGTGTCCTCCCTCGCTGGGAGCTGGGAAGCCCAGACGGGACATGACCTGGGTCTGGGTCTTCCCCACAGTCCCTGCTGCCTTGCTGGCTGCTGTGAAGGACTTAGCCCTTCCAGTGTTGTGGGTGTGTTCCCTTCTCCTGTGCGAGGTATAAACAGAACTGTATCGGGCTGTTTGAAGCTGGCCTTCTGCATTCCTTGCCTGCCAGCGCTCGGGTGTCAGGGACACAGGACACTGCCCTGCACCCCCTGACTGCAGATTCTCAAAGCCGCCCGGTCTGGCAGGCTGCTGCTCTGCGCTCGGGCCTTATTCCAGCTCATGGACCCTCTGGGTGAATGTTTGACACCTGAACCCACAGCGGACGGGTTGCCCATTGCAGAGTACCACCAAGGTGGCCTGGGGGTAAGCAGGTGTCTCTTCTGTACTATCTCCCTGGGTGGAGGGGGGCGAGTCCCTCCACTTGGGAGACCTGCCTGTCTGCCCAGCACACAGCCACCATGTTCAGGTGGCAAGAGTGTACTCAAACTTATCTACAACTCAAGGACCCCCGATTTCTTCCTCTCTGCCCCTGTTCGCAGGTCCCCAGGCTCTCGGGGAAGATCGGCGCAGAGCTCGGTGGCCCCTCCTCTGCTGATGTTGGCTGTGCCCCGCCACCTCGCTACAGCCGCGGCCCTCACGTAGTCACAGGACTGCGTACACAGCTGCACATCAGGGCCTTGCTCCGGATACCCTCCAAGGAGAGACGTTCCTCTCCAGCCCCCGCCTTCCTGGCCTGCCCACTGCAGGCGCTGGCTGATAGTCACCCAAAGCAACACTCTCTTTTAAAGAGAACAGGCCCTTCCAGTGTTAAATGGGTCTTCTCACCACCAGTTCTGCCTTTCCAGTTTGATCTCTCCCATCCCATCACCTAAAGCCTACATCTTAGAATGTGGGCCAACCGACTCTCATTCTTAAAGTCCTTTCCCGAGCGTGTGTTAACCACAGTGCCGACAGGGCATTAGTGGCTTCTTAAAAGTAGACAAGCTATGCTTTGGAAGGAACAAGGGTACCTGAGAATCCAAAGGCGGTTAGGGACTTCACCTGCCACTCCATCTCATCTGTGTGGATCTCAAACACCAGGTCGGCATCCTGGAAGAACTGGTCCATGAGGGGCTTCAGGCGGTCCAGGTCTCCAGTGACCAGCGCAGAGTGGTACTCGCGCACCGGGGACCCAGCTCTCACCAGAAGCTCCTTGTCCGTCGTCTGAAAGATCTGGAGTTTTCCTGTAACTGGCTCAGGCTGACTCTCCATTGCAATGCAGTTGATTTCGGAGAAGTTCTTCGGGAAGCGGAAAGATGATCGTATCCAGCATGTGCTATTTCTATTGTCATTACTCAATTGTCATCCAGTTGGGGCTCCATGCTGGTGTATTTATAACTCCCGTGGGCTCCGATGTGATAATGGTTACTTGATACGACCCGGGTCACGTGACCTCTGAGATGCCACAGTGCTCAGCCACCACCTTGTGATTATATAGATACGAATTCTAGAGACGGCACATCTGTCTGTCTCACAAACAGCTCTCTACACAACAAGGGCAGACACTAGGCACACCCCCGATTGTGACGTACTCTTCCCCCTCATCCTGCTGTGTGCCTGGGCTGGTGTTTTCCTAGCCTTAAATAGCATTTATTTTATACCTGTTTGTGTAGGTTAAGTGACTAACTCGTAAACATGACTTCAGTGACCAAAGT